GGAGACTGTGTGTGTGAAAAAGTGTGTCGTCTTGTGTAGAATTCTATAACTTTGTGAGGCTGCAGGTGTCACAGACTGACACAGTGATGTCACTGTGTGTGTGAGATTGAGTGATTGTGTGTGACTGACAGTCTGGGTCTGGGGTAAAACCGTATGAATGGGTGTGTTTGTGACTGTCTCTGCAGGTATAACTAACCTATTGTATATGGGTGTGACATTGTGTGTGTATACGTCCCTGTGTGGATGTACATAATTATGCTTGACTACCTGATCTGCGAATGTAACTGTTTGAATGTACGTGACAGCAGGTGCTATTGTGTGTGATCATAACTATCTATGTATGAAGGTATAATTTTGTATAGTTGTTAGGTGCTGTCAAGTTGGTTCTGACTCATACTGACTATACAACAGAAGGATGCCTGGTCCTGTGCCACCCTCACAGTCATTGCTATGCGTGAGTCTATCCATGCTGCCACTGTGTCACACAGAATGTGTGATCATGTGTAGTCTGTCACTGAGTGTATTTGTGTGTAACTGTCTTTTGGAGTAATTATCTGTGACCATTTTCCTATCTTTGTGCTGGAGCGGTATAGTGTATATTTGTGTGCGTGTGAGATAGAGATTATGTGTGTGATTGGATGAGAATTTGTGTATGTGTATGGGAGATTGTGGGATGGATTGTTTGAGACCTAGTGTGTGATTGTGAAGCACAGAAAGATCAAAAGTACTCAAGTTTAAAGTTAATAAGTGACAGAATAAGGACTTGAACCAAGTTCAAGGCAGTTTGGCTTCAGAGTCCTTGATCTTACTTGCCTACATTGTGAGGGTAAAAAGTGAGATCTCTAGGTGCTGAAAGTGTTGGAAGGGTTTGTTCCTGATCTTGGACTAGGGACTTTGTTGTTGTTATTATGTGCCATCAAGTCAGTCCGACTCATAGTGACCCCCTCCTTGGGTTTCTGAGGTGGTATCACTAGGGAAGTAGATTGCCCAACCTTCCTTCCAAGGAGTGGTTGGTGAGTTTGAACTGCCAGCCCTCTGGTTAGCCTTCAAGTGCCTTAGGCACTATGCTGCATGCAACTTAATCTGAGTCTCTTTCTTCAGTCTTGCAAGTTGCAGGACCCAGTCTAACAGACACAGTAGTGAGCTCATCCTCAAGTTGGCTGCCCCTACAGGAGGAAAGCCCAGCCTGAAAACCCAGTTTTTCTCTGCTTTAGGCCATTGAGTTTGAAATTTTAACTTTGTCCTTGTCAAAACTTTTCCATGTTTTGTGCTGAAAGAGGCTGGATTCAAAGATTGGGCAATCTACTTCCGTAGAGGTAATGCTTCGGAAACCCAGGGAGGAGGGGGTCGCTATGAGTCGAATGGCCTAATGGCAGTGTTTTTTTTTTTTTAAAAGTAAGCCAAGTTTCTGGTTGACTTTCTCAGTAAATGAGGAAAAATCTTCTCAATTTTTCCCCAAATATTTGTGTATAATCTAAATGGGAACAATGGTGATACTTCTTGACAGTGAAGAAAGGTTCTGAGAGATAACTTGCCCACAGTCATGTAACCAGTGAAAGGAGTGGAGAGTCAACATGTGTCTGGGGACTATAAAGCCCAAGTCTTTTTATCACACTTTCTTTGATTTACTTATTTTCAACATTTTGATATTGTAATTTAAATGTTGTATGTCATCCTCATGGTATAATTAATACAGATAGTTTTTCTTCTTTATTTCCTCTGGTTACTGGTTTACCCTCCCTTCCTCACCCACCTCTGGTAACCATCAAAGGATATTTTTTTATGAAACCCTGTTCTTGACTTTTACAATAGTGATCTCATACATTATTTGTCCTTTGTGATTGATAAACTTCATCCAGCATAACAAGCTGTAAGTTCATCTATGTTATGATATGTTTTGTAGATTCATCATTGTTCTTAAGTGTTGCATAGTATTCCATTGTGTGGATGTACCATAGTTTGTTGATCCATCCTACATCGATGGGCATTTAGATGATTTCCATCTTTTTCCAGTTGTGAATAGTGCTGCGATGAACGTGGGTGTGCATATATCTATTCACGATATGGCTCTTATTTTTCTAGGACATATGTCTAGTATTAGAATTCCTAGATCATAAGGTGTTTCTAGTTCTAGCTTTTTAAGGAAATGCCATACTACTTTCTACAGTGGTCGCACCATTTTACTGTCCCAACAGCCACTCATTTTATTTATTTATTTTATTTTTACTCATTTTATGAGGGTTCCAGTCTCTCCATACCCTCGCCAGCATTTGTTGTTTTCTGTTTTTTGAATTTTGCTATTGGTGCTCAGTAAGATGATATCTCATTGCCTTGATTTGTATGTCTCTTAATGGGAGTTCTGGTGGCATACTGCCTAAGGCATTTGACTGCTAACCAGAAGGCTGGTGGTTCAAATCTATCAGCCACTCCTCGGAAGGAAGGTTGGGCAATCTACTTCCATAGCGATACCACCTTGGAAACCCAAGGAGGGGTCACTATGAGTCAGGCCCAACTCAATGGCAGTGAGTTTTGAGTTAATGGCTAATTATAGTGAGCATTTCATCATGTGTTTGTTAGCTTTCTGAATGTTGTCTGCGATGAAGTGCCTGTCATATCCTCTGCCCATTATTTAATTGGATTATTTGTCTTTTTGTTGTCGGTTTATCACACTTCCTTTTAGAGGCTGATGGCTCATCTCAAACACAGAAACATATTATCCAAGGGATGCACAGCTATTTGCAAACAATGACTTAAAAAAATTTATTTTTTGCATGTGCTGTTTAGGTCTGCTGGTCCCAAGTACCCAGAAGACTGCATTGATTCTCTTCTCAGGTTGCACAGGCCTTTGTGGATTTCATTAAACTAAGGAAATAACATCCTAGAGACTGAGTAGGCTAGTGCAAAGTAGCTCAGAATTAGAGGGTCATGTATTCTGAATTCTAGATCAGACACATTATCCCCAGTTTCAGAATGAAGAAATGTTGCCTGAGTGGACAATACTTGTTTCAGGCTGCACAATTTTTGTTGATTTAAAATGAAAATTTTCTCTCTTTCCCCTCAAGCTGCATTTCTTTGGAGTAGTAAAGGTAATGTCTGACATCTCTGAAGATACTTCTTTAAGAAATATATGGTATAGAGTCCTCAGGTTTTGTTGAGTATTTCTCATTCAGATGATGTGGCTTCTTGAAAAAGAACTAGTTTTTGAGTCACATTTCAGTTGGATGCTTGTAACTTTTAATTTGTTGTTTAAGGATTTTCAACCTCAATTTCACTTATTTGTAAAATGGGGATATCTACCTTTGTGAGAGTTAAATGAGATGACATATATAACGTGTAATATCACTATTTATATTATGGGAGGTACAATAATACTTATTGATTAATTTACCAAGTATTTTTTGAGTACTTTTAATACTTTTCATAGTTCTAGTATTGTTCTAGCACTGCAAATAGACACTACAGTGAACCAAACATCCTAGATCTCTTGGATCGTAAGACCTTGTGGTGATAAGGCAAAGAATAAATAGAAAAACTATATTGCATATCAGATAGTGAGACAAATACTAAGAAGAAACATAAATCAGGGTAAAGAAAAGTGAGTTAGTAGAAGGGGAGTTCTCTTTAGATGGAGTGTTCAGGGATGCCCTTGTTATATAATGGTATTTGATCACAGATGGGAATGACAAGAGGGAAAAAAAGCTTTGCTAATATCTGAGAGGGTTCCAGCAGTGGTGTCATTAAAGGGATGTGGGGGTTGTGGACTGCATCAGATGACACTGTCAGAGGGGTTGACACCAAAATAACTGTCTATAAAATTTTTGTGCTGTGTTTCAGCAGAAATTTATTATTCTTTATAAAAATATCCCTGTAGTTAGTTATAACAGCATAAACATTTTTCATAAGCCCAGCTTTCATGTATTAATATACCTACAAGGCTAAAACTATATGCCAACTTACTTTTTGAACCTTTTGTAGCATTCCAATCAGACCTTTTATTACCCAATTACAATGACACTTCGATTCATGTGGTTTTGTCTGCACATGCTACAAGCATGCACTATTGTTTTTGATGCTGCCATTTTATAGTCACTGATTTTGTCAAATTTTCTGGTGTTTTAGCTACAATATTGTGGTAAGTAGTATTTCTGTATATCAATAACTTTTGAGAATGAAGTAGTAATTAAAGGAAAAGGAGAAATGTCAAAAAAAGCTTTTACTCAGTTACTAATGACATAACTAATAATGTTACAATTTCAATGTGGAAAGAGTTTACAAAACAATTTCAATTTTAGTATTCATATAATCTAAGAAATATTACATTTGAGCAATTTATATCTATATCACATATTCTATGATTAATATTGATAACATATGTATAACAGTTATTATATAACTTTGATAACTAAATATAAAAATTGAATTATGAGTTATGAGTAATATTAGTACAACAAACCTTACTAAGAATTCTTTATGGGAGAAGGTCCATGGATGGGGGAATGACACCATGAGTTACCATACTGGGTGACACCAACCCTAGTAACACCACTGGGTTCCACACAGAGGAAAGCACATGAAGCAGCAAGCCTAAAAGAGGACTGTACATAGTGTGTGAAGGACAATAAGGAGTCCTGTGTGCCAAGGATAGGGTAAGCAAGGGGGCAAGCAGTAAGAAATGAGGGCAAAGGGCAGCCATAGGTCAGATCAAAAAAAGACTTGTTGGCCATAGGATGGGTTATAGATTTTGTTGAATTCAGCCTATATGTTCTTAATACCATCCTAGACTTCATGGATTAAGTTCAGCTTTGGCCTTTTACTCAGATCTTAAAAAGGGTGGTATTGGCCCATGTAATAAGATGTGAACACCATGAAGGGGGAATAGTTCTATCTTTGTCCATTTGGGACCAGCAAAATAGAGCTGGTCTGTCATTTATTCTTCCTTAACTCTCCCTTCTCAGGATTTTATTCTTTTCCAAAAGAGAAAACTGAAGAAGGAATGAGAAATGGCTGTTGGACTTTGTAAAACCATGTCCCACGTAAGTTGCTGTTTTCCTTTTGTTTCCAGATATTCTTCCTCATTTTTCAGGACTTAGAGACCACAGGGAGAGTTATAGATAGTCCAGTGTACACCCTCTCTACTTCTCTCCCTACCTTTTGTTCATATAATCCTTCTACAAAACAGTTTTTGTTTGTTTGTTTGTTTTTCACTTACTGTTATGTTCAAATGTGTAATGGAACAGAAGTATCTTCTTTAGATGGATTGTGGTTTGTTTATTGTGGAAGGGAATTAAGGGCATATGGTGTGATTGTGGAGTGCCCTTTTAAATAGATCAAGGATGGCCTCTGAGGAAATAACTTTTCAACAGAGACCTCACTGAAAAGGAGTAAGCTTTGCAGAGATCTGGGGATGAGCTTTAAAAAGAGAAGGAATAGAAGTGCAAAGTTACTAAGGTAGGGGCATGTTTGATGTATTCTAGGAACAGCAAGGAGCCAGTAACTCACGAGCACTAAGAGGTCAGAACAGTAGCTAGGGGAAAAATTATGTCATGAAAAGAACTTTGAATTTTGTTTTAAATATGAAGGGGAACCGCTGAAGTATTTGTGATATAATTTATGTTTTAAAAGAAGAGTGTAGTTTAAAAAGGTGGAATAGGAAAGGCCCAGTTTGGAGACTGTTACAGTAATCCATATGAGAGGTGGTCCTGGCTTGGACCATAGTCATGGCATTGGAGCTGGTGAGATTCTGGATATGTATTAGAGACAGAAATTTTGGGTATTGATCATCGATTGGTTCTCGGGTGTGAAAGGAGGGAGGCCACTGCATAAATGATCATGTCATTTGCTGTGATGGGAAGACAGAATCAGGGTGGAAATAGAGATCAAGAATTGAGTTTCGGGTATGTTAAGTTAGAGAGACTTGTTAGACATCCAGATTGAATATGAGTATATATCTGGAGTTTAGAGATAGGGTCAAGACTGTAGAGGTGAATTTGGGAGTCATCATGTATTTAAAGTCATGAGATAAAACTCACTGCCATTGAATTGATTTTGACTCATAGTGACCCCTCCTTGGTTTTCTGAGGTGGTATCACTATGGAAGTAGATTGCCCAACCTTCCTTCCAAGGAGTGGCTGGCAGGGATAGGATGAGATTATTTATTTATTTATTGTGGTAAAAATAAATGAAACAAAACATTCAACATTTTTTGCATATAAAATTCTGTTATAATAGTTTTGTGTATTATGTTGTACAGCTATTACCCCTGTCCTTTTCCAAATTATTCCACCAACTTTAAAGGAAAGTCAGTGTTCCCTAAGCTAAGACTCCTTATTCCCTCCTCCTTCCCACCCCTGGTTACCACTATTAACTTTTGTCTCTTTGTTGTTGTTGTTGTTATGTGCTGTCAAGTTGGACTTGACTCATAGTGACCCCTCCTTGGGTTTCCGAGGCAGTATCACTATGGAAGTAGATTGCCCAATCTTCCTTCTGAAGTGTGGTTGGTGGGTTTGAACCGCCAGTCTTCTGGTTAACAGATGAGTGCCTTAGGCACTATGCTACCAGAGCTCCTTTATTTGTCTCTTTATATTTGCCTATTTCATTTAAGTGGAATCATATAATGTTTGTCCTTTCATGACTGACTTATGCCACTCAGCATAATGTTTTCAAGGTTTATCTGTGTTATAGTGCAAAAAGGATGTGGTGGTAGCATCTTTTGGTAGCGTAGTGCCTCAGGCACTCGACTGCTAACCAGAAGGCTGGCAGTTCAAACCCATTAGCCACTCCTCAGAAGGAAGGTTGAGTAATCTACTGCCATAGTGATAACGCTTCGGAAACCCAAGGAGGGGTTGCTATGAGTCGGGTCCAACTCAATAGCAAATAACAACAACTTTACAAGGAGGAATGAAAATCATCATTAGCAACATCAGCCCAATACTGATTCCTGTGAGGCTGAGTTCAGACATGCTGCCACCCTTTAACCTTTTTGCCAATTCTGACA